TTTTTCCGTATATACTTGATAACTTTCTTGTGTTGTTGGATTTGTAATTGTTAATGTTGGTACCTAGAAGCCAAAGTTCAAAAGCTAGACAGAAAATTCAATTTTTTCGGATTTATAAGCATAAACACGTACTCCAAATTGCGGCTGTGTTGATGTAGAATTATATGTGACGATAGGTGCCAATGTACGTGATCTTTTTATTTTACTTGTTGGTGTAGGATTCTGAAAAGTATTCACTAGATGAAATAAAGTTTGGCAATCAGAAAAAACGCGTTCGCTGGCGATTTATAGTAAATGCTTCAGTAGTTTATAGCGACTTATATATCAGATAACTACATATGCTGCTAAGTATTAAATAGCTTTTCACCTGTAGTACTGGACCATTAATATCTTGTAATAAATCATTTTCGCTTGTTTTTCTTTTATTATTTGCTGTTGGTTCAAATGGTGCATGGATGATATCACTTCTATAAAGAAAAACACGTGATACTATAGTTGCTTCCTGATATTAAGGAAAACATTTTATTCTAAAAAAGCCTAAACAGTATGACAGAAGAATGAACTATAAAAGACATGTTCTCTTTTTCCTTTAAATATATTAGCTTGATAAATGAATAATCTTTGAAAACGTGGCGGTTAATTGTTTTTAAAGAAGTAGAAACAATTAGAAAAGAAAATCAACCTCAATATACTCTGTAAATTATATATAGAAAAAGTAGTATAAAATGAAGTGTTCTATAATAGAGGAATAGAGGAATAACAGAGGAACAGTCGCGGAATAGTCGGGGAATAGAGGAACAGCGGAATGGCGACCGACCGACCGGAATATATTTTGAAACGCTCCCTTAGTAATGCTCTTTCGAAGTGAAGATAAGAATATAAGTTCTATTGTTTTGACATCAAATTTCCACACATAGGCCACACATCAAAGAGACCGCACATTTAAACAGCAGGATTAGAATTTTGAAAAAAAGAAAATCAAAGATTTAGCGGTTAGTGCAATATGACGAAAAGATAAAGTACTTGGTAGCTGCAACCACTCAGTCTGCCAGCCATAGGTGGTTGCCATTTCTCAATTAACCTGTCCTCATTTCAAAAAGAAATGAATCAAGATACAACCAATCACAACGTTTGTCAAAGATATGGAAAGATATTTTTTTCTTACTGGACGTACAAATTCTTTGGACATTTAAGATCCATTAGTTGCATTGCCTTCCGTAAGTATCATAGGTTTATATAGAACCGCCTAAAGATACAGATAGGAGTGTCTGTTGAAACCTAGGTAGTGGTAACTCATTCACCCCTCACCATCATCCTCACCCTCAATAGCGCTAAAAAAATTACTAAGCATATCTTTAGGTAATCCTCAAAAAGTTGCTAATTTAGCAACTTTTTGCCTGTATGTAATTCTTAAAAAGTTATAAGAAGCATATGTATTAGTATTACACTTGCAAAACTACTTGTAAAGACTCTTGAACAAGGTTGATATGCGTCATGATTTGCTCGACTCGAACTTCATCTTCATCTTCAGATAGTTTTCTAAATTAGTTCAATGATAGAACAGTTTTTCTGTAAGAGAGAAAGTCTAAGGTTTATAAGTTACTTGATGAGTCTTAGTCGAGACAGTTATATATGAATGCTCATCTTAGGATACTGAATTTCCATTTAATAAGTAATATATCGTCGCCTTTTCCTTCCCCACTGCTCCTATGCGACATCTAACGTACTAAAATTATGGTGATTAATAGAAAAGAATAGAATCTTACACAACAATGCAACTAATGGATGTTAAATGTCCAAAGAATTTGTACGTCCAGTAAGAAAAAAATATCTTTCCATATCTTTGACAAACGTTGTGATTGGTTGTATCTTGATTCATTTCTTTTTCAAATGAGGACAGGTTAATTGAGAAATGACAACCACCTATGGCTAGCAGACTGAGTGGTTGCAGCTACCAAGTACTTTATCTTTTCGTCATATTGCACTAACAGCTAAATCTCTGGTTTTCTTTTTTTCAAAATTCTAATCGTGCTATTTAAATGTGCGGTCTCTTTGATGTATGGCCTATGTGTGGAAATTTGATATCAAAACAATAGAACTTATATTCTTATCTTCACTTCGAAAGAGCATTACTAACGTCAAATGCATTCCATGTTATCACGTTCACTCTCGTATAGCACAAAGAATTTGTCGGAAAACCGAAGTGTTCTTATCGTAGGTGCAGGTGTGGCTGGTCCTGTATTAGCGTATTTTCTTCATCGTTTTGGTGTACGACCTGTAGTAGTCGAGCGTGCACCGCAACTGCGGACAGCTGGTCAAACTATTGATGTGCGTGGTGCCGGAAGAGAGGTCTTACGACGCATGGGTATCGACCGCATAATTCGCGAAAACCACACTCAAGAGGAAGGAGTGGCTATTGTTGATAGTGCAGGGCGCACACGAGCCGCATTCGGTGTGGAAAGCTTTGGCGGTCAAGGTTTCGTCGCCGATATTGAAATACTTCGCAGTGAGCTAGTACGTATACTTTATGAGCACAGTCGTAATCATACCGAGTATATCTTTGGTGATCATCCTTCATCGATCAACGATCGTGGAGATCATGTGCAAGTTACGTTTGCTAGCGGTAATGTGCGTGAATTCGACTTGGTCATCGGTGCTGATGGTATGCAATCAAAAACTCGCCGCCTCGTCTTTGGGAACAATACTTCGATTCATCATCTAAATGTGTATACTGCATATTTTACGATTCCCTACAGTCAGTCAGATGGCAGATGGGCACGTTGGTACAATGCTCCCAAAGAACGAACAGTGCTGATCCGTCCAGATAATCAGGGCACGACGCGTGCCGTGTTGTTATTTCGCACTTCACAGCGTGGTTATGAAGACCTTGACGTAGATATGCAAAAAGAACTTTTACGAAACGTATTCGCAGATGCAGGCTTCGAAACACCTCGGGTACTGAGTGGGATGAAGAACGCAAATGATTTTTATTTTGACGCTATTGCAGCGATCAAGATGGATCGATGGTCAGAGGGACGAGTTGTCTTGGTGGGTGATGCAGGTTATTCCTCAGGAGTCAGTGGTAGAGGTACAACTCTGGCCTTTATTGGCGCTTACATCCTCGCTGGTGAGATAGGTTGCCATCAAGATCATACAAAGGCTTTCATACAATACGAAACACTGATGCGTCCATACGTTACCGCAGCTCAGAAAATAACTCCAGGATCAATTCGCGTTGCTTTACCAAAAACGCGTACTGCGATTGCGCTCAGGAATACTGTACTGAGTTTTGCAGCCAGACCTGCCGTTACTGGATTTATCACAAAACTCACCAAATCAAAGACGGCTGAGAAAGTGACGTTTCCAGATTACGAGACCATATTGGCTCAACAATAGGATGCTCCATTGACCTTAGTTTTTGCTACATGAGTAATTGTAGGAAAAATATAATGACTGTTTTTTTGGAGGGTTCTGCGTTTTTTTTATTCATAAAAAGAAGTAAACATCACGTATATTTTCGTATACAGAGGGATGCAGAAGTGCTTCATTTTCTCATGAAAATCGTCAATAATGCATCAAATTTTATGTTCATGTTATTACAAGCTTTCTTCTTGATTGGATTGTGCTCTTAAAAAATAAATGAATGAATGAATCAATGTATGAAGTGAACCATATTTGTTTGGTTGGCTAGCGTGTTTGGTTCACTTCCTATTCAACTAGTGATCATTCAATTGCAATGAAATTTAACTCACGAGCGCAATTCTGAGCAGCATTTGTTTGCGCTGAGTTGATCACCAACTAACATCGAACTATGCTGTTCATAGGAGACCTATCATGGACGATTCTTCCACTCACAAATGAGCATTGAAGAACCATCATCCTTCATGCATCATATCGTTCTTCTTCGACAAAGTACATGACTATCATAACTATGCTCCGAGACCGATCTTTCGCTCTCAAATAAGCGCTCATCATACTAATCATCAGTATCACTTCTAAGTGCCCATAGGTAACATGCCGTTGTCGCGATATCACAGATCCGCAGAACATTTCCCATACTCATTGATCAAGACATATATTCGTGGCGTTCTCAACGTAATACATATCCATCAGTTGATAAAATACATGACGTTTGCGTACCATATTTTGAAGCTGTGGATGTAAATAATACATTTATTTGTTTAACTACACGTCAATTACTTTCAACATGTAAATATTCCTCTGTATTATATATTGATTGTACATATAAAGTCACAGCTAACGAGTTACCATTATTAGTCTTTGGTACATCAGATTTCAATCGCCGATTTTATCCTATGGGTGTATATTTAATATCTTCAGATGAATTACTGATCTGTTCAAAGTATATTTTTGTGTCATTTACTCAAATTTATACCGTGCGTAATTATAAGAAATACTTAGTAGGATTTCGTAAATGTTTTCCTAGAATGTTAAATAATAAAATATAGTTTTTGCTTGAAATGTGCTATAGTAGATACACGTTAAACTGTTGCAGACAAACAA